AACTCATACTAAAGCAAATCATTATGAAAGCCTCGCCAAGTTAAACTTATCCAGTCCGTTAATGAAACGATAGTGTAGTGTTCCTGACTTTATATGTTTACTTATTAGAAAGTCGAGAAAGTGAGAGTGAGTGCATTGCCCTAACTTTGTATGTACATCTTCCACTTAATATGTTTTAATCTAATTTCCTAACAGCTGAACCAAAAATTTTCGAAAACACCAGATAAAAGCTCCACTTTTATAAATTAATTAAACCATTAAGCAGGAAATTTTCGTTAGCTTTTCCGCCTCGCACAACTTTAAACAATATTTCAAGGTTTCGTTTGAATAAAAGTAATTTAATGTTTAAATGTAATTCTTTTTTTTTTATTCTGAAGGAAACAATTGTTATATAACCAACTGCGTTTACAAAATTACTTACAGACGCTTGTAAACTTAAAGTATCATAAAGATAAAAAAAAACACCATGTTCTAAATTAAATTAATTTGATAAAAAAAAAAAGCTATACCATGAGCTAACTGTGCTGAGCCCAACACGGGTATCGAAACCCGGTTTTTAGCGTTATAAGCTTATAGACGTACCACTAAGCAACTTTGGGAATCCATTACCGAAGACATATATATATTAAACCTACCATTATTTTTATAATAATATTAACATTTATTACAACTATTATGGAAAATTTATTACAACTGATTACTCTCAACTAAAAGTACATTTTATCACACACACAACCTAATTATCATTCAGAGCTAAACAGCTAGTTTTAAAAACTACTCAGGATTCAGTTTGATATTTATCATAAAAAAACAGAGCATAAAAGTACACAAAAGACAAAAAGTGCTAAAACTTAAAAGAAAAACGTGATGCAAAGTAAATGTGCCATATCTTAGGAGTTAATTACCTACGTTTTGCAATAAACTTGTACTGAGTTTATGGCAATTCATTTAATTTTACGTTGACCGTGTTTCCTTGTCACTACAATATCTTAGTCCTGTTTCATTATACGTGTATTACCCATCTACCAATGAATTATTAATAACGCACTTGCAACAGTTTGGAGCGTGACCTAATTTTCGAGCATTTGGAGGACTAGGACTACAGGTTGTCGGCTTTATTCTTAACTAGACCATCTCTACTTATCCAGCTATTACTAAACTTTATGAACTTGAACAGCTAGAGATTTGTGTTCTAAACTAACTCCGAATTATTATAGAGTAGCTAAATAAATAAATAATAAATAAATAAAGGTTTAATGTGCTTATATTTATTAACAAAATATGTGCGTATTAACCAGTAATAGTAATAATTAAACATTATTGTTAAAAGTACCTTTGTGTAACCGGAATTATCTATTTACCTATCTACTTTCCATAGCAATTATTCGTCATGTTTTCTAACAAAAATATATTTGAAAAACGAAGAAGAAGGATAAGAGCAATCTTATACATGGAAAGCAAATATAATAAACAAAATATTTTAAAATGACCTATCACTTTTAAATTTAATACTTGAAATATCCAATGATATCAGTCAGCTGACAACCACATTGGTGTCGGCAGAAAGAATGAAGAAAATATAGTAATGAAAATTAAATGTCTTGACTTAATAACAGATGACAATATAGCGCAATCCAATAACTCGTAGGTTGGCACGTGGCCAATGACACTAAACTTACGAAGTCAGCGAAGGATTCGTCAGTTGCTTTTATTTGCTACAAGATTTAAAGGCCAGCTTGTTCATTACCTCACCTAATAAACCGTAAAACGTCTTCTATAGATACGTGTGATGGAAATGAATCTATTGATAAATACAAACTTTTATCCCATTGATATGTCGTCATGTTCTACTAAACATTATCACACGTATAGCGAAAGTTAGCACAGTTAATGACATGTTCACACGTATAGCGAAAGTTAGCCACAGTCATAATGAAATGTTCACACGTGTAGCGAAAGTTAGCACAGTTATAATGAAATGTTCACACGTGTAGCTAAAATTAGCACAGTCATAATGAAATGTTCACACGTGTAGCGAAAGTTAGCACAGTCATAATGACATGTTCACACGTGTAGCGAAAGTTAGCACAGTCATAATGAAATGTTCACAAGTGCAGCAAAGTCAGCACAGTCATAATGAAATGTTCACACGTGTAGCTAAAATTAGCACAGTCATAATAAAATGTTCACAAGAGCAGCAAAGTTAGTACAATCATTATGAAATGTTCACACGTGTAGCTAAAATTAGCACAGTCATAATGAAATGTTCACACGTGTAGCGAAAGTTATCACAGTCATAATGAAATGTTCACACGTGTAGCGAAAGTTATCACAGTCACAATGAAATGTTCACAAGTGTAGCAAAACTTAGCACAGTCATAATGAAATGTTCACACGTGTGGCGAAAGTTAGCACAGTCATAATGAAATGTTCACACGTGTAGCTAAAATTAGCACAGTCATAATGAAATGTTCATACGTGTAGCGAAAGTTA